ATATATATAATATAACACAGATGTTGTATGTGATATGTTCAGACATATAAATATAAAAGGATGGATATAAAAATTCCAAAATAGAAACAGACGGTGTGAATGTAGATGATTTTGCTCTATTTCTATGCATGTTTTTGTTTTCTGAGGTTATACTTAAGTTTTTGTTTTCTAAGAGAAGGATGGATACAATGATTATGAGAAAATATAGTCGCATACCACAGAACATTTTGGTCAACAGACTGAATATAGAACAGTGCTCACATAAGATTATAAGGGAGCTGAAGAATTCCTATTATCTAGTGGAGCCATAGATATTTTTTCCTTTTTTTTCTTTTTTACTAGTATGTTTGTGATATATATAATTAATATATTCATTGTGGGGAAGTTCTTTTAGTTGTAGGCACCTTAATGTAGCACAAAGCCTTACTTACATGTCTGTGGTAATGCTGGTGTAAACATACCCACTACAAAAGGATAGCACCATTACTTAGACATAAAAACTGGCTGTTACTAGTTGATGTATTGCCTGTACTGTACTTATTACTGCGGTTTTAGAGTACTTCAGCTTCATACATCTCATGATTATTGCATCTCTTCATTTCACTGCTTTTCTGCTGCTTTCCTCACCCCAGCACTGGAGATTGAACCCTGTTTTTTGTTTTGTTTTTTTTTTTTTTGTAACCATGATTGAACTTGGGCCCTTGTAGTTGGCGGAACCACTGAGCCAAATCCCTGGCCCTGAACCCTGCTGTCTCTCTACACTGAGCTATATCCCTAGCTTTTTAAATTTTCTACTTTGAGATAGGACCTCGGTAAGTTGCTAAGTTGCCCTGGCTGGGATCAAACTTGCTTTTCTCCTGCCTCAGCCTCCCAGCATTCTGATAGATATCAAAGCAGGTGCTACCATGCCCAGTTCTGCTGCTTGACTTATCCACATACTGTTTTGTTCATCATGGTTCTAGGGGCACTAGGCTACGCCATATATATAAACCAAGTGGCCTTTGTATGCAGTTACCACATAGATTTGTCTATGCACACACACTCTTTGGATTCATAAAATGGAATCACCTAAGGACATATTTCTCTGAATGTTCCCCACTGTTAAGCTTAAGAAAGGGCAAAATAACCCTAAAGGTAACCCAGAAGCTACAGTGGGAAGTGGGAGACCTGTGCGAAGTATTTATGACCTCTAAAAGTAAATACCATATTCTTTCACCTCCAGAGAACTCCTATATATGAGACCTCTCGGTAGGAAAGGTCAGTCAAGGATCCTGTCAGTACCATGTCACAGACCGAGTGTGAGTTGGGATTGAACCAAGGACACCTGAGATTTAAAGTAAAAGCCCACAGCACCATTCTCCACCATCCCAGCTCAGCACTCAGGACAGTGGCCTAAAAGGCAGACCACACCACAAGAGCCCAGCACAGCCCCTGGGGAGGGATGTATATTCCTTACCAACAGAGCCACCAGTAGACAACTGACAGAACTCAAACAGGCCATCAAATACTGGACAGTCCTCACCAACGTTGACTTGAAAGAAATAAGCAAAAGGTTAGTTTCCACAACTTCTTTCAGGCTTTGTTTAAATATTTACGGGATGATGGGGAAAACAGAGAATTTAGATTTGGAAGGCTGAATTCTAGTCCAGGCTCTACTACTTACTGGCTGTGCAACTTGGTCAGGTTGTTTCACTTCTTTTCTTTTGTACCAGGGATCAAACTTGGGACCTTGTGCTTGCAAGGCAAGCAGTGGAACCACTGAGCTAAATCCCCGGCCCTGTTTCACTTCTTGAGGGTTAGTCCATTATCTACTGGTACCCATCTCACCCAGTTATTGAGAAAATTAACAGAAAGCTTTCGATTTTTTTGCTTTTTAGTACTGGGGATTGAACCCAGGGCTTTCACACTAAGCTACATGCTCAGACTTTATTTTTTTAGTTTGAGACAGGGCCTTGCTAAGTAGCTAAATTGCCCAGACTGGGAATGAACTTGTGATCCTCCTGCCTCAGCTTCCCAAAGTGTTAGGATTATTGCTATGTGTCATCATGCTGGCTTTTTTGGGGGGTGCTGGGGGGGGCGTGAAACAAGATCTCACTGTGCAGTCCAGGCTGGACTTGAACTCAATATAGAGCCCAGGCTGGCCTCAAACATGTGGCAATCCTCCTGCCTCAGCCTCCCAAGTGCTGGGATTACAGGAGTGGGCCACCACACCCAGTTTTATTTTCTTTTTTGTGAGGTGGGATCAATCTATGCTATGTTGCACAGTCTAGCCTTGAACTCTTTGGCTCAAGTAATCCTCCTGCCTTACCTCTCAAACAACTGGGACTACAGGTATGTGTCAATGCACCAGGCATCAGAAATCTTACGTGAAGAAGCATTTAGCAACTTGGAATTGCTGGTTTCTTTCTTTCTTTTTTTTTGGTACTGGGGATCGAACTCTGCTCCTTGTGCTTGCGAGGCAGGTGGCGGCACCACTGAGCTAAATTCCCAGCCCAATGCTGGTTTGTTTCTTGAGGGAGAAAAGTTTATCTTCTTCCAGCCTGAGTGTGTTCTTGAACCTCACCCCAGCTGACCCACAAGGAAGAGAGCAGAGATTTATGCAACTGTCATTCACTGAGTGCCTACAATGTGCCAGACATTGCCAAATGCTTTAAGTATCAGATGTCTCTTCCACACAATATTCTTTTGAATTTTTATTTTTATCAGTATATGTTTGCAGTACATAATGATTACATTTATCATGGGGAGTTGGTAAGTGTATATAATAAGTCTTAATTCTTTGTACACCTTTTTCCCCTCTCTCACTGTCACACAATCTAAGGTAGGATTTGGTCCCTTCTTACAAATAGAGAAACAACAGACAGGTGAATTGCTAGTAGGTGGCAGAGGCAATCAATACTCAAGCCACAAGCCTTGGCCCATCCATCCTAAAAATCCATGGGAATATACCCTGGTCTTCCTACAAGTACTACGATGTACACACTCTTGGCTGAACCTCACAAACCTATGAGCGAGACAAGACAGGTGTCAACCCCACTGTGCAGAGGAACAAACAGATCCAGAGAAGCTGGTGACTTGCCCCAAGCTACATAATCAGGCAGTGGCGGACTCAAGCAGCACTGGCAGCACTCCCACAATCCAGTGCTCTTTTCACCACACTCACAAGTGACAACTGGAGTAAAATTCTGTCAGGGCTATGGGGGTAAAAGTCCAAAGCAGTACGTGATGTGGAAACACATGCAAACATGAATGCAAATGAAAAAGATAGGAAGGAAAGAAAGCACACCTGGATGACATAGACTCAGAAAGAAGCAACCCTACAGCTCCAAGCCTCCTCTCACAGAAAAGGAAACCACTGAGACATCAATGATACACAGGAAGTTAGAGGAAAGAGTGAGGTTAGATGCTTATACGCTGGACTCAAGCCTTAGTTGTTTTTTGTTTGTTTGCTTTGAGACAGGGTCTTGCTATGTAGTTCTTGAATTCACTATGTAGTCCAGATTGGACTCAAATTCAGTGATCCTCCTGCCTCAGCCTCCTTAGTGCTGGGATTAAAGGTGTGCACCACTATGCTTGGATGCCTCAGCTTTTTTATTATACCTGCTCATATCACTAAGGGATCCCAAAGTAGAGCAAGGAAGAGGAGCCCCGGAATAGAGAGGGTGGAAGGAACCAACATCTCAAGACACAGGTGAAGCTTCAGATTTGCAGTAACTCTGGCGCTGCGCTAACTTGGACGGGCTCTGAGGAAGAGTGGCTGCGCAAGGGAGCAGCAGTGGGTGGCCCTTCCTCACCTCCTGGGCAAATACTGAGAGGCTGAGTCAATAAGACTTTGGACCCTGGGTCAAGCTATTTATCCACTGGTATCTGACCCTCCTTCTGGTCCTACCTCCTCCTGCAGTGGATTCCACTTCCCTGGGTTTCCAAAGTTTCTTTGTATTCCCTTTTGGGATGGGAAGGACCTGTGGGAAGGACTGGTTGGTGTTTCAGACATTAAAAATATTTCTCTTCAGGTACCAGTCCAACATGTGGCTCCACAGCCAGGCCACCTACTCCCAGCTCAAGGAGCTGTGGTGCTATACATGGGAGGCAGGGAAATGGGAGGGTAGACACTCACTAGAGCTAATCTGCGGCCAGGGAGGACTTTGATACGGCTTTTCCCTTTCCCTTTCCCCACCATACTTTTCTCATTCTCAGCCTTGCTTGACATCTAAGGGAACAACACTGGGTGAGAAATGGGAGAGTGAAAGTAGGTAGAGAATGTAGTATAAGCACACTGTAGAAAGAGATGCATAGTATTAAACACTGACTTCAGGACAGCGTCTGTTCATGGCAGGGTGGTCATGGAACTGGGGGCACTGGAAAAGGAAGAAAAGGGTATGTGATCAAGGAATGGTACCTAGGGACTTCAATTATATTATGTTTTCTTTCTTAGGCTGGGTAGTGGGTACAAGGATGTTCATTATTTTTTAAAGTTTTCCAAGTGTGTCTGAAACATTTTGTATGTACCATAAAAGTACACACATCCATACCAGGCGTGATGGCACACACTTGTAATTCTAACACTTGGGAGGCCGAGGCAGGAGGCTTGATGTGAGGTCAAGTCCAATGTAAGCTACATAGTGAGTTCAAGGCCAGCCTGGACTACAAAGTGAGACCCTATCTCAAAAAATTTTAAAAATAATAATATAAAAGAAGAACTGTATAGTCACCCTTCAGTATCTATGGGGGATTGGTCCCAGGGCCTGTGTGTGTGTGTGTGTGTGTGTGTGTGTGTGTGTATTTTTGGGGGGTTTTTTGAGACAGGGTTTCACTTTATAGTTCAGGCTGGCCCTGAACTTACTGTGTAGCTCAGGCGGCAATCCTCCTGCCTCTGCCTCCCAGTGCTGGGATTACAGGCGTAAACCACCATGCCTGGCTCCAATATATATATATTTTAAATATCTATCTTTTTTTTTGTGATGAGTCTTATCATGTTGCCCAAGAGTCCTTGAACTCCAGGACTCACGCAATCCTTCGGCCGCAGCTGCCTGCTCCACAGAGCCTGGCTCCTCATATTTACTTTGATAATCTCTGGATTACTCTTTAGGAAATTACAAGAAATTTGTATGTGACCAGTACAGATGCTTTTTATTTATTTATTTATTTTTAATTAATGCTTGACTAAATCCACAGATGTAGAGTCCAGAGACAGAGCAGGCTGACCGTGCTCCAGAATCAGGAGGAGGGTTCCATTCTCTGTTCTACGACCCCTTGCCACGTGACTCAGTCATTTCACTTCCCTGGGTCTTGGTTTATGGCTGCAGCACGGATAAGAATGCCATTCAGTTATTCATTACCCTAGATCCCTTCTGTTGTGTTTTCACCATGAGCCCCCTGTTCTGATGATCCTTTCTCCAAATCACATTCACCTAAGGTCCCCACCCTTATAAATTAAATATTAGGTCAGAATTTCTGATCAGGGCCTTGAAAGTCTCAAAGTCACTACAAAGAGTTTACGTTCCAGCCAAGAGCAAAGAAACCTGAACCTGAGTTATTTGGTCTTTTCAAAGGTATAACTGCCTAGATTAGAAGTTAGTAAATATTAAATACAAGATCACGAAAGAGCTCTTAAATTTGTTACTGTCTTGGTAAACACCACAAGTTATAAAGCACTGCACCAAGTTCCATCTGACATGTAACAGGTCAGTAAAGGGACCTTGAGTTCCTTAGCCTCATCCCCGTCACTATTTCCAATGAGAAAATTCTCAGACCTTATTTTTTCATGTACCAGCTAAATCTCTGGCCCATGAGGGTCTAGTTTTTTGTCTGCCTTGACAGATTTACAAATAACAAAAATAAAAGCCATAATAGCAAAGGCTATTTACTGAGAGTAGACACCTTGGATATAGTAGGTCATTTATCCCTCAATCTCAACTATGAAACAGATATTACTATCTTCCTTCTTTTTTTGGTCGTTGTTTTGTTTTTTTGGACAAGGTAGTTCAGGCTGGCCTTCAACTCACTATGTAGCCCAAGATGGCCTCAAACTCCTGGCAATTCTTCTGCCTAAGCCTCACGAATGCTGGGATTACAGCTGTGAGCCGCCATGCCCGGCTAATATCTTCCTTCTAAAGAGAAAAAAGAACACAGACTAGGAGGAAACTTACTCAAGAATACTTAGCTGTGGGCCAGGGATTTAGCTCAGTGGTTCCGCCACCTGCCTCAAAAGCACAAGGTCCCAAGTTTAATCCCCAGTACCCCCCACAAAAGAACACATAGCTAAGTGGCTGACCATTCAAGCTAAGAAAACCAAGCTCGTTTTCTTGCTTCAATACAACGTGATTCTCTAACAACAGCCTGTCCTTCTGAGAATAGAGCCCAACTCAGTGGTGGCAAACTGATGGCACGCCTGAGGCAGGAGGCTATTTATTATCATTGAGAGCTCTAAAAGGTTCGCCATCACAGGCCTAACCCTTGGCCTAAATGACTTGTGGACACCCCTAAAGTCATCTGCAGTGAAGGAATTAATTTGTCTCGCTTTTCTTGGAAGACAGTGAGACCCTAAGAATTCAGGGCAAACACACCTCACCCAGAGGGGGCAGCAGCAGTAAGCAAGATCTCCATAGCACTGACACCATTACCAGTGTGCAGTTATTGTAATAATGCATAACTTTCATGGGACTAAGACTATTCTGTCACCAGCGGTAATAAACAAGTACCACAGATTTCTTCATATACAATATGAAGTGCCACAAACCAACCAAAACTTCTAGACGATATTATTACATTGTTTTATTGTATGAACCTTAAGGTATTAAGAGACAATTTCCAAAACAACACAAGGGAAAAAGCTAGGTGTGATAGTTTAGTCCCAAATTTGAACAATTTTTGGGGGGGCCATAGCTAAAAGTAATCCCAATTCCTATAAAGTAGGTGTGATTTGTGAGATGGGACCTGCTCTGGAGTTTCAGGACCCAGGCACAGGGGTAGAATCACCTCATGTTCAAATTTTATCATAAGGAATCAATCACAAGTAACCTTTAAATTCTGAATTAATACACAATCAAAGCAGTTACAGGTGGACGGAAATAAGAGATCACAGGGCAGGGGATGTAGCTCAGTGCCTCTGTGCCTGCCTGGCAAGCACAAGGTCCTGAGTTCGACTGCTGATACAAGACAGAGAGAGGGAAGGGGAGGGGGAGGGGAAAGGGGACGTGAGGAAAGTGACTTGCGTAGTCACTTAAGATTTAGAACTGAGTCCTGTACCTACTGTCTTTTTGAGATCAGCATTTTTCCCATTATAACGTCAGTATTCTCTGGACAGTGTTGTAAGCCTAACTGAAAAAAGCCCAACAGGTATTATTTACAATCCTGAAACAAGGAAAATCAGACATGAGAAAGAGAAGCATTTTGGCACCCTCAGACGGAAAAGGAAATCAGATGTCAGCTGAATAAGAACAAGGAAGGCGACCTGGGCCTCTCTGATGGAAAAGGAGATCTAACAAAGGGCTTGGAGGTGGGCGGAAACCAGGGCAGACTTACATCTCTGCATCTGCTTGCTGTACTCAGACATGTTATCTGGACGGATGGAGCGCAAGAATTTAATGTAGTCGTCACTGTGGTACTTGGTCATCTCCTCAGCATTGGCTTTGTGAGGGCGCTAGAGGGCAGAGGGAGAGAGGGCAAGTTAGCTTTGACCGCTGCCAGTCCTCACCTAGTCTAGTTGGAATATTTGTATTTTCTGTCCAGCACTGAACTAGGTGCTGGACAAAAAGAAGTAACTGGTTAGGTTTAGGCCACAAGAAATTTATGATCTAGTTAGGCAAATAAGATTAGCAAAGGAAACTGGTATTGGAAAACAGACTGTACCTCACACTCTGTTGCTTAAACAAGTTATATCTAGAGCCACAATTTCCTCATTTACTGAACAGGGTCCACAAAAACTATTTCGCAGGGAGATTGTAAAACTGGATAAGACTGCCAGGCATGGTGGGACATGCCTGAAATCCTACCACTTGGGAGGCTAAGGCAGGAGGATCACCCTGAGTTCAAGGCCAACCTGACTAGTGAGGCCTTGTCTCAAAAAAAAAAAAAAAGGGTTAAATCTCTTTATAAACTATAAAGTGCTTTACAAATTATTACTTCTTAGCTATAATATATAATTATGGGCCAAATGATTCTAAGAGTTCAAGAAAAAGGGTTAACTACCAAGATAGATTATGTAAAGGTACAACTTTCCAATGATGAATGTCATATTGTATACCTAAAATATATCAATAATTTTTAAAATATACCATTTAATTTTTATTTGTTTTATTTTTTATTTTTGGTTTTTTGAGACAGGGTCTCACTATGTAGTTGAGACTGACCTGGAACTCACAGGCTGGTCTCAAACTCACAGCGATCCTCCTACCTCAGCTTCCAGAGTGCTGGGATTATGGACATGTGCCACCATGCCCAGCTACCATTTAATTTTTATTTTTAAAAATTAATTAATTAAATTTTTTTTCATACCAGGGATAGAACTCACGTCCTTGTGCTTGCGCAGCAGGCACCGGAACCACTGAGCTAAATCCCCGGCCCTACCATTTAATGTTTAAAAAAGGGGTGACTAATGACAATCGAACTAGATGAGAAAACCTTTGTATCAAAAACAGTGATCACATCCTTTCCACTAAAACTTCCTCGACACGACAATTTCCTGGTCACCCCAACATTCTAATTCCACCTTCCCTCTTGAAAAAAAATTGTTGTCTTAGCTGGGCAAGGAGGTGCACACCTGTAATCCTAGCACCTGAGAGGCCAAGGCAGGAGTTCACTGAGCCTGAACTATTTAGTGAGGCCCTGTCTCAACAAAAAAATCTCTTCTCTTTCTCCCATCCCTCAAATGCAGGTCTTCTTCATAGATGAATCTCTTCTTCTCTAATTACTGGTATTTTTATAGTTTACAAAGCACATTCTATACATAGCTAACATTTATTGTTTACACTGAGCTAATCACTATTTTAGGCAATCTATGCTCTCTCATAATATCTTCACAAAGCCTTTGAAAGGTCATACTGTTACTGTCTGAATTTTACAAGGAGGAAACTACAGCACAGAGAGGGTTAAGTAACTTACATAGGGTTTCACAGCTGGTAAACTGGAACAGGAAAACAGATGTATGGCTCTAGCTACTAACTGACTCACTTAAATTTAATTTAAAGAATATAACATTAAAAGACAGCCAGGCACAGTGGCACATGCCTGTATTCCCAGCTGCTTGAGAGGTTGAGGCAGGAGCATCACCAATTTGAAGATAGCCTGGGCAATTTAGTGAGGCCTTGTCTCAAATGAAAAACTAAAAAGGGCCAGAGATGTAGCACAGTATTCCCTGGGTTCAATTCTTAGTACAGCAAAAAACAAATCAAACAAACAAAAATCCCACAGTTCCGGGGATTTAGCTCAGTGGCACCCCGCCTGCCTTGCAAGTGCAAGGTCCTGAGTTTGATCCCCAGTACAAAAAACAAAACAAAACAAAAAAACCCACAGTGAAAGAAGCAATGCTTAGCCTTAAATACCAACTTGTTTCTACCCTACTAAGTTATTCCTTACCATCTTAGCACTATTATCCATGCCATGATTTACTTCTTGCTTCTAGAAAGAACAGAATCTTAGTCTCTATTCTGAGCTCCAGATTCACAATTCCAATATATTCCATCAGCTCCACCCAGGAATCCTAGAGGCCCCTCTCCCCCTTTTTTTTTTGCTTGTTTTTTGACACTGTGTCTTGCCAGGTAGATCAGGCAGGCCTTGAACTCACAAGTGATTGTACTCCTTCAGCCTCTGGAGTGCTGGAATCACAGGCATATGTCACTGTACCCTGATCTTAGAGAAGCCTTAAATTCAACCAAACACAACAATTTGTAGAGGCTAAAAGCCCTCAAATTTAAGTTAACAGAGAACTTTTCTTTTACTACTTCTATTAATGAAATCTAAATGTCAAAAAAAAGAAATTTAAATGTCATTTTAAATTCTACCCTTTTGCTTTCTCATTTCAAACCATTGCTAGCCCTTCTTACTATACCTCCATAATCTTAATAGTTGTTCTGTTGTGTCACACACAGGGCTTCCTTCACTATGCAGCTCAGGCTGGCTTTGAACTCATCACGGAGCCCAGGCTGGCCTCGAACTCATGGTGATCCTCCTGCCCCGCTTCCCAAGTGCTGGGATTATAAGTGTGCCCCACTATACCCAGCTAATAAGATTTTTAGTTAGAAGATTATTTTTGGAGACAGGGCTGGGTCCCAATATATAGTTCAGACTGGGGCCAGGGATTTAGCTCAGTGGTTCTACCACCTGCCTCACAAGGGCAAGGTTCCCAGTTTGATCTCTGGTACTGGGGGGATAAAATTTATAGTTCAGGCTGGCCTTGAGCCCACTAAGTAGCTCAGCCTGGTCTTCAACTCGCAACATTTCTCCTGCCTCAGTCTCCCAAGTCCTAGGATTACAGACAGGTGTACACGGCAATGCCCAGCTCATTTATTAGTTTCTTTAGGGAAGAGTGTACAAGGATTGAACCCAAGGCCTTGTACACTCTTAAGTATGTGCTCTACCCCTGAGCTATAGCCAACCCCAAAACCTCCATGACCTCAACTGCATGCTCTATACTATTTCTTCTATGCTCCTTTCTCAGGTTTCCTATCTCACTACCTTCTCCACCTAGCTGCTTAAGACAGAAGCCAGAATATCACCTTTGATTTCTCTCTCCTCATCCACGACACAGAGAGTAGTTTCTCTCGAAACTACTGCCAATCTGCCAATTCTATCCCCTTCCATTCCCAGATCACCACCATTTTGTTTTGTTTTGTTTTGTTTTGTTTTTTGAGACAGGGTCTCATCGTGTGATGACCTTAAACTTACCACAGCCCAGGATAGTTTCAAACTCATAGCAATCCTCCTGCCTCAGCCTTCAGAGCTGGGTTTGCATGCATGTGTAACCAAGCCCAGTTTACCACCTTTTTGGCTTGGACTTTGGAGCAATCTCCAGCCCTGATGTAACCAGTGTGCATACATTCTCAGGCAGAGTGACTGCGCTAAAATACAAATTGAATCACATCATTCCCCTTTAAAACCAAAGGCTTGGGCTGGGGATTTAGCTCAGTGGTTCTGCTGCTTGCCACAAAAGCGCAAAGTCCTGAGTTCTATCTCTGGTACCAAAAAACAAACAAACAAACAAATAAAACCAAAGGGTTCACTATTCACATTAGGCTTGATATTTTTAACTTGGCTCAGAAAATTAGAAGAATCTCTTCTCTACTCACCTCTCAAGAATCCCCCTAAATATTTTATGCTCTAGCAGAGGAAACACCAAATTCAAAGCAGTTCTAAGGACTGGGCAGTTTAGCTAATTTGGTGCTGAAAACAAATAAACCAAACCAAAAAACTGGTGAGCAGAGGACCAACTCTACAAAGCTCTAGCTGATTAGTACTCACCAGGAGGGAATTTGGATGCAACCACACAATTCATTTAGGTCAAATTTCATTTTTTCAAAGGTTGACCATCACAATAAAGTTCTTAAAAATACTTTGTGGGTTAAACAAAACAAAGTTCAGGGGACTGAATTTATCTCTTGTACTGCACCAATATGCCAAACATGGTTTCATTTGCAATTCCCCAAGGGGAAGGTTCTCCCCTTTAGGCCTCTGCACGTACTGTGACCTAGAATAGAACACTGTTCTCCTCATAGCCCCTACTCAACCTTTAGTTTGCAAATGAAGTCAACTCCCCCAGAGCCATCCTTAGCCCCCACAGTCTCAGTTAAGTAACTCTCTAAAGTGCTCCCCTGAGAATCCTGGACTTCCCTATCACACTCAGAAAAATGCAAAGAATTATATGTGTGTAGCTGGGGATGCAGCATAGCTGAGCAGTAGAATGCTTACTTAGCACAGGTGAAGACCTGGGTTCAATCCCCAGCACCGCCAAAAAAGAAAAACAAGAAATTACATGTGTATTTGATCTGCTCTGGGAGGCCAGAAGCAGGTCAAACTTTATTCTTAGTAACAAGCACGATGCCTGGCATATAACAGCTGCTCAGTAGTTACCTGTTGACTCAGTGAATTAACTTTCACTTGGATTATTTTTGGCTCCTAAACAGTCCCATTTATACTGAGCTATATCCTCTATTGCTTTGCATATTAGTATCACAAAAATCTTCAAGTCAATTCTCTGCTCAGAAATATTCAATGACTACTTAATTCTTCTTCAACAACTCCTGTAGTGCCCCCCCATAATGTTTATGTTCATGTTCTTCTAAAATTCATTCTTTATTCCAAATCTCTGAAGGACACAGCCTATTTCAAATGTCTCTATTTTACAAAGGTAAAGCAAATCTCCTGTCTGTAATCCCAGCACTCAAGGAGCTGAGGCAGGAGCACTGCCATGAGTTCAACGCCAGCCTAGGCTACATAGTGACTTCAAGGCCAGCCTGAACTACAGAGCAAGGCCCACTCTCAAAGAAAGAAAGGAGAGAAAGAAAAGGAGGAAAAGGGAAAAAGAGGAAGAGAGGAGGAAGGAAGGAAGGAAAGAAGGGAGGGAAGGGAACTAAGAGAAAATCTTCTAAAACCCATCTTCATCCCAGCCCTCAAAATTCTGAAGATGACCTCATTCACAGACCAAAATCACAAAATACACAATTAATAAAGCATCAAGAATGATAGCCCACGGGCCGGGGATTTAGCCCAGTGGTTCCACCGCCTGCCTTGCAAGTGCAAGGACCAGAGTTCGATCCCTGGTACCAAAAAAAATATGGCCCACAGAAACAAACAAAAGAAATAGCAGAACCATGGAAACATTTAAATAAAAAAAGACTACACTTCATGTTTATATACCAGTAAATTAGAATATGCAAAAAAATTTATAATAATAAATTTTACTAAATGAAGTACTTGGGAAAAGAATCTAATGAAAGACTTGCAGGACCAGGGATTTAGCTCAGTGGTTCTGCCACCTGCTTCGCAAGTGCAAGATTCCGAGTTCGGTCCCCAGTACCAAAAAAATAAAATAAAATAAAATAAAATAAAATAAAATAAAATAAAATAAAATAAAAAAGAAAGACAGACAGAGAGACAGACCTGCATGACTTTCATGAAGGAAATTATAAGATCGTATAGAGACCACACATGGGGCACACACCTGTAAGTCCATGTACTCACCAAGCTGAGGCAGGGGTATTACAAGTATAAAGCCAGCCTGGGCATCTTAGCAAGACCCTGTTTCAAAATAAAGTAAAACATGGGCCCGGGGATTTAGCTTAGTGGCACCATGCGTGCCTTGCAAGCAAGTTCCATCCCCAGTGCAATAAATAAATATAAACAGGCAAACAAACAAACAAAGTAAAACAGGCTGCAGGAGGAGCTCAGCACTAGAGTACTTCTTTTGCATATACAAGGCTCCATGTTCCATCATCAATACTGCAATAAAAAAAAACCTTATTGGGGCTGGAGGTACAGTTCAATGATACAGTATGTGCTTGGTTAGCAGTTTGCAAAGCCCTGGATTCAATCCCAGAGTGCACACGTGCATGCATGCGCACACACACTCACACACACACAGCCTTTATTGATAGAAACTCAAATACCCATGAACAATGGAGTGGATAAATTATAGCACACTTTACAATGAAATGTTACATGATTTATTAATAAGAACTACAGCTACATGCAAAATAATGCATACTGTATGTAATTCATTTATATTTCTATCAAGTTTGGCCAAATTTAAACTATATTATTTTAGGAACCATATTTATGTAGTTAAGTTATGGTGAAGGGCATGAAAAAAATTAACAGAAAGGTCAGGAGTCTAGTTACTTCTCAGGGGAGGGAGGAAACTGATCAGGAAGAGGTATATGCAGATTTGAGATACTGGCAATATTTTATTTATAACAATTTTAAAAACATTTATTGTTGGGCCAGGGATTTAGCTCAGTGGTTCCACCGCCAGCCTCCCAAGCACAAGGACCAGAGTTCAATCCCTGGTACCAAAAAACAAAACAACAACAAAAAAACATTTATTGGTCAAGCTAAAGGAACCCTTCTGTAAGAAGTTCTTTTTTGTTGTTGTTTTTTAAGACAGGGTCTCACAATGTAGTTGAGACTGACCTCGAACTCACTATGTAGCCCAGGCTGGTCTCAACTCACAGCGATCCTCCTGCCTCAGCCTCCCGAGTGCTGGGATTACAGGTGTGAGCCACCACTCCCGGCTAAAAAGAACACTCTTAAAAAGCCTTAGATGTAGCCCAGTTTGAAGTTCCTGGGTTGAAGCCCCAGTGCCCCCCCACCCCCAAAAAGACATGTTCTCCTGTGCAGCCACTCACCTGTTGCCCAAAGAGCCATTCTCTTGATAATGGATCTCTAGCAATCAAATCATGATTAGTCCAGGCCAGTTCTAGTAATCCTATCTGCCTACACTGACAATATAAGGACAGAAAATGACCGAAGAGATGCAAGGAAAGGTCTGCAGGGAGGCTTCTGGGAAGAGTTCTTTTTTAATAAAGGAGAGGTCCCCAGAAAACTTTATGTTCTTCATTCTCAGCTGCCCTGAAAGCAATAAAAAGCTATTTGTTCCTACAGTCTGTCTGCTCCTCTACTCCCTCCTTGCTTCCCCAGGCACTGCCATTAGATCCAGAGACACAACAGGCCTTCTGGGGCAGAAGACTCATCTCCTTTTAGTCTCTGGGATGGTGAGAAGGATCCTGCTGTTGCTAGGTTACTCAAGCTATTGGCACAGATTGTAACACACTCTTACACTGTAAGACAACATAGGCCCCAAGTCCCTCTTTATTTTTTTGTTTGGGCTCTTACAATAGCCTCCTGACTGGCCTCTCTGCTTCTAAAATACATGCCTATTCCTATCTTCCTTTCATTTAAAACTCTTCACTTGTTCCTCACTACCTCCCAAAGAGGTTAAACTAGGAAAGATTGAATCAAATGTAGTCCAGATATGCTTATATGTTTTGTTTATACCCAAGCTAAAAAATTAAAATCTTGATCCAACATTAATACTGAGAAACTTTACTTGAGCAAGATTTCCAAATTCTCATTCTTTTTGTTGTTGTTGTTGTTTTGAGACAGGGTGATCCAGTCAACCAACAGTGATCTTCCTACCTACCTCTCACCTCCTACCTACCTCGAGCTGGCTGATCTTTCAGTTTTAAAAGAGAATATGAGCTGCTTGCGGTGGCATATGCGTATTATTCCAACACTCAACAGACTGAAGAAGGATCTCCAGGAGTTCAGGACCATCCTGGGATACAAAGCAAGGTCTCATCTCAAAAACAAAAGATAATAAAACAAAAGCTGGAAGATCAAGGGGGTGTGGTGGCACTTGCCTTAAATCCCAGCACTGTGGGAGCCTGAGGCAGGGATTCCAAATTCAAACAGCCTGGCGAACTTAGTGATTTAAAACTGTCTCAAAAAATAAAAGGGTGTGGCATGGTGGGCACGCCTATAATCCCAGCACTCGGGAGGCTGAGGCAGGAGCATACTGTGAGTTCAACCAGCCTGGACTACATAGCAGTTCCAGGTCAGTCTCAACTACATAGTGAGACCCTGTCTCAAAAAAAAAAAAAAAAAAAAAAAAAACCCACAAAAACAAACAAAATCAGCTGAACCTGAGTCAAGAAGTTAGTCAGACTCTCTGCTCCCTAGTAACTAGCGTTGGCATCCAGTTCAACATGGTCTGTCATTCTTGTTTTTTGTTTTGGATTTTTTTTGCAAGCGTTATGGGTTTGATTCTAGCCCACCAGGGTTACTTAGTACACCACATACTATTCCTGCTGACTGCTCCACCTTTACCTCCTGGCACTTACACTGTCCATTTGCCCACTGAGCTACTTATATTTTTCCCCAACACTGTATTTTTCTTATCTTTTTTTGGTACTGGGGATCGAACTCGGGTCCTTGTGCTGGCGAGGCAGGCAGCAGCAACACTGAGCTAAATCCCTGGCCCGTTACCTCTTATCTTTTTGCCCATGTTCTTCCCTTGGTCTAGAATGCCAGGTCCCTCTTGTAACCTAGGCTAAATTCTATTCAATCTTTAAAACCCTCCTTAGATATCACCTCTAGGAAACAGTCCGTAACTCCCTCGGTCCTTCCCTCTTTATCTCTACATCTTAAACATTCTTTAATTGCTGCATGTACACACAGCAGCATACTTTACTTACTTACATGTGGGTCTCAGCCCTAGAACAAGCTCCATAAAAACGTGTACAGTACCTGCTACAGAGCCACTCAACACATTCGACTGTGTGAATGTTGAGTGAATGGGTAGCTAAAGAAGCGAAATAATGAATAACACAAGGGGAACTCGAGCTGATGAGGTAGGGCAGGGGTAGTGCTCCTAGTTAACTCACATAGATTTCCATCTTTCGGTAGAGGCCATAGTTGAGCAGCAAATTGTGAGTCATGCGGATTCGGTGAGGCTTCATTGGGTGGCCTTGTCCATAATAGTAATTTCCAACATCCCCTGCAGAACAGTGACAGCTTCAGTAACAGAGACACACATTCCCAGGAGAGCCCAGGAATTTTTACAGCAAACTCCCAGGCAAACTGTCTTTCTAGCTCATTTCTAGTTTCCAAGATTCTCTCCCACTTTGAGGAAGGGTAATTACAGATGAAACAAAACTAAAAGCAAGGAACCCTAGTGAGGTCAGCACTTAAGGATGAGTCATAGGCACTAGAGAGGATGAGGGGTTTATTCCAAAACTACCCGGAAATAGCCATTAGTGGCAGCCACCTCACTATTTCTCTGAGGAATTCCCTCCCAAAATAGAAAGCCATCCCTACTCGGAATTATTATAAACTACAGTTTGCCTCTTATATACCATGATATTTATTGATGTTACAGCACTTTTGTTTTTTGTTTTGTTTTGTTTTTTGGTGTTTTGAGACAAGGTCTTGCTATGTAGTTCAGGCTGACCTTGAACTCACTATATAGTGAAGGCTGGCCTTGAACTCACAATTCTTCTACCTCAGCCTCCCAATGTTGGAATTATCGGAGTGAGCCACCACACCCAGGCCAGTTGTTTTCATAATCCACAATTCAAATAACATCACTCCCCTGCTCAAAAATCCTAATGGCTCCCTATCTCCTACAGTAAAAGGAGTGAAGAATAACTTTAGTAGGCCGGCCCTCACAGACTTGTTTAATCTACCTTTCTGCTTTATCTCCTGCTATTACCACCCTTAAACTTTCCCTCAGTACAGACACATTTATTCTAACTCTTTTTGCCACCGACTAAAGCAAATACACCTAAGCTGCCTATTTCTTTCCTTCTTTCCTTTTTTTTTGTACCAGGGATCGAACCTGGGACTTTGCATTTTTGAGCCAGGCAGCGGCACCACCATGGAGCTAAATCCCCAGGGAACTGCCTATTTCTATAAATAAAAATATTACTGGAAATACCCATGCCCATTAATTTATTCACACCCAAGGCAGTTTTCATAGCACAGTGGCAGAGCTTAATAAAGTAACTGCCACAGAGAGCCAGATGGCAAAATAAAGCCTAAAACATTTCCTACTTGGCCGTTCACAGAAAATGTTTACCAAGGTGCGCTCTAGACACACCAGATTATCAACACCCTAAACATGGCATTCACCTTTGTGCCAAAATATTCTTAGTTCACACTGTTCCTTAGGCCTGAAATTCTCACACTACAATCCCTAGCTCAGTCTCCAATACTCCACCCCACCCCCTTACAATCCTGGGAATTGAACCCAGGATCTTTGCAATGAGGTACATCTCCAGCCCTTTTTACCTCTATTTCTTCTTCTTCTTCTTTTTTTTTTTTTTTTTTGATACCGAGGATGGAACTCAGGACCTTGCACTTGCAAAGGCAGAACCACTGAGCTAAATCCCCGGTCCCATCCCTTTTTGAATTTTGAAACAGGGTCTTATATCTACAGATTAAAAAAAAAAAAAAAAAAAAAAGTCCTCCAAGATGAGGTAGAGGTTTAAAAGCACCTGGTGGAAAAAAAGGGATAGGCTTTGATCTCCAGTACTCCTTTGCCTGTCAACCCTGGACCCAGCCAAGGTTCAGACCTAGAGAACTAAAATAGCTTATCTAGAAAGCTAACAAGTACGTGAGGGTAAACCTGGAGACACTGCCTTTTCTTAAAGAGTTTTTAATTGGGTTCCTGAGACTTTAAAAGGAATAATTCCTTGTATTTAGATACTACTTCAAACTTTTTTTTTCAGCACTGAAGATTGAACCTAGGACTTTGCACATGCTAGACAAGCACTCTATTATTGTACTATACCCCCAGCCTGTTATTTTAAAGATCTTTCCAGTGCCAGGCTTGGTACACATGTAATACACATGTAATACACAAGTAATTCTGGTACTTGGGAAGCTGAGGCAGGAGGATCACCACAAATTAAAGGTCAGCCTGAACTACATAATGAGTCTCAAAAGACAAAACAAAATACTTCCCCATCACTGTTGTTGTTTTTTTTTTTTTTTTTTTGATACCAGGGATGAACTCAGATCCTTGTGCATGCAAGGACAGGGCTGAAACCACTGAGCTAAATCCCCGGCCCTCCCATCACTGTTCTTATAGAAATTGCTATCATTTTGTTTTAATTATTTTGGTTTTATAGTAAAATTACCTGAAAGAAGCCAGGGATTTAACTCAGTGGTTCTGCCACCTGCTCACAAGCTCAAGGACCCAAGTTCAATCCCCAGTACAAAAAAAAAAAAAAAAAAAAAAAAAAATTACCTGAAAAGTCAAGTGACTTGCCACCTATTACAAAACTTTTGAGTGGGAGAGTCAAATCTGAGTCTCAACCAAAGTAACCTCACTGCAAAATTCAAAGATTTTAAAAAGTCTACCCAGGGCCAGGGATTTGGCCCAGTGGTTCTGCCGCCCGCCTCTCAAGTATAAGGACCGGGAGTTGGATCCCCGGTAGAGGAAAAAAAAAAAACAACAAAAAAGTCTACCTGTGGGCTGGGCATAGTGGCGCATGCCTGTAATCCCAGCACTCGGGAGGCTGAGGCAGGAGGATCCCTGTGAGTTCGAGACCAACCTGGGCTACACAGTGAGTTTCAGGGTAGTCTGAACTACATAGCGAGACCCTATCTCAAAAAACCAAAAAAAAAAGTCTACCCACATGCTGGTTTAGTGGTACACACGTGTAATCCCAGCACTTTGGAGGTTGAGGCAGGAGGATCACCATGAATGAGTTCAAGGCCAGCCTGGGCTACATATTGAGTTCAAGGCTAGCCTGAACTTCATAGTGAGACCTTGTTTCAGAAAAACAACAACAAAAAAATAAGTCCATTTCCTTTTCTAAAAACAGATCACTCCACTTTTCCTTTTAAGGGAATCTGCCCATCCAGTGTGTAGCTAGCCTTGAACTCACTACACAGCCCAGGCTATCCTTCAACTTCCAATCCTCCCAGGCTCCCAAGGGCTGGACTTATTGGCATGCACCATGATGCCTGTATCCACTTTTTCTTCTCCTAAACTGGGAATGTCAAGATTATAAAAATGCAAAATGATATGGGTAAAAAAATAAAAAAAATCATAGGTTTCATCCTCAACTTGATCCTGCACTGCCCAGCAATCCTTCCAAACTTATTTCCCTAGTTCCCTCTTTTACGACACCTAATTAAACTGCCTCTTTCTGATTCCTAAATCCAGCAACTGCAACTGCCTTCCCTCCACCTCTCAAGGAAAGAACGACACCTATAAACTGCCTCTTTCTGATTCCTAAATCCAGCAACTGCAACTGCCTTCCCTCCACCTCTCAAGGAAAGCAATATTCTCTTACTTCATTTTGGGCACTCCCTCAACCCTCCCCACCTTCTTATCCACACTTTTTTTTTTTTTTAAAGGTACTGAGAATTGAACCCAGGCCTTGCACGTGCTATGAAAGTCCTCCACTACTGAGCTACAGTCCAGCCCTTCTTCCCTTTAACTTACCTACATTTGAACTTTTCCTTGCCACCTGCTCCCTCATTACAAAAGAACCTCCGTTTTTGTTTTGTTTTATTTTTGGTACTGGAGGAGGCAGCAGCACTGAGCTAAATCCCAGACCCACAAGGTAACTTCTTGAAAGCCAGTGTCCCTACCTGGGCTCTGCTTTCCATACCACCTGGTCTCCTCCTAAGCCTCCATTACTACCAATCTCTTTCCTGTATCTTCTATTTCTCTTTCACTTGTTTTCCATAAAAATTTGAATATCTTCAACTGAAGCCAGGTGTGATGTGGTGGCACATGCCCATAGCTCCAGTACTCCAGAGGCTGATGAGGCAGGAGAATCACCACAAATTCAAGGCCAGCCTAACCAACGTAGTGAGTTCAATGCCGGCCTGAACTACATAGCAAGATGCTAGCTCAAAAAAGGTGCACAGGGAAGAGGGCAGGAATTTAGCTCACTGGCACTGCACCCGCCTTGCAATCACAAGGTCCTGAGTTCAATCCCCAGTACAAAAAAATAAAAGAAATATGCTCAACTCTTAGCAACTACATCTCTTCTTTATCAACAACTCTCTCTCCTTGCCTTACAAAAGCTTCTTTTTAAAATTTTTCAATCTGCTATTTCCTCTTCACCTATCCATTCATCCTAAAATCTACTGTAATCTAGATTCTATCCCAACCCTTGCCAACACTGGCCCACTCCCTCCCTCCTTCGGCTTCTGCAATCTAATATTTTCTATTCACTTCTCAGGACCACTACCTCTATACCCATTATTCATTTAATTACTAAATATTTGAGAGCCTACTAAAAACTAGGTACTATTTTTAGGATTGGGGATAAAGAGGCAGACAAGGCATTGTTCTCTCGCTCAGAAGCTCACTGGCTGCAAAAAATGTGACCAAGCAAATGAACAATTTCAACACACAGTGACAAGTGCTATGACAAAAAATACAGACCATGAGGGCCATTAGATTTTTCCTCAGTCCACTTCCAGAATTTTACCTTGGATCCTCTTCTCTTTCTACTCTATCAACTTCTTTAGTGATAACATTCTCTTCTGAACTAACTAAAATTTCTATCTGTATGCTGACAACTACCAAAAATCTGTCTTCTAAAATGTAGACCTCAACAGTCAACAGCCAACTGGAGGCCTCTAACAGCATCTTCCATTAACATCTCAACAGCTTTTCTTATTTTTTGGTATGGGGGATAGAATGGGACCTTGTGCAGGCACAGAACCACTGAGCTAAATCCCCAGCCCTCAACAGCTATTTCTAAAAAAAAAAAAAAAAAAAAAAAAAAATCCAAAGTTCTCACTGGGTCAAGGTGGTGAGGCAGGAAGATCGCCATGAGCTCGAGGTCAGTGGAACACACAGTGAGTTCAAGGCCAGCCTGAACCATATAAAGTGACCCCGTCCTCAACAAAACAAAACAAAACACCCCCACAAAGTTATCAATTGACACAGCCTTCACCAAACACCCGTTATTAAATTGCCCACACCCTCTCTTATCCCTATATTCACTAATTTAATTCCTGTCCCAGAGTAATATTTCTAAAGTATAGATGTGATGATGGCATTAGCTTACATACATCTTCAATGATTCACAAGTGCCTTCATAATAAACTCCAACTTCCTTAGGACAGTATGCTCAGCCCTTCCTGATCTGGTCCTTATTTAACTCTCAAGTCTCACCACTTACAACCCTTCCCTCTATCCCGCTCCCACCTTCTACGCCAGACCCCCAAGTCTTTGCCTCAGCCATACATACTGGACAAAATACCTGTGTCTTTCAAAGGTGCTATCGTCTCCCTCGCCCCTAATCTTGCTGTTACCTTCCCTTTCTTGTGCCCGGCTAATAATTCTCGTTCTTCAGGTCCTAAGTGAGATGACACTTCCTCCCCGAACTTGACCCTTGGGTGCCTCTTCTTGCTCCTCGACACGGAGCTCTCTTCATTCCCGAAGGCCGGAGGGACCTGGGACGCTGCCTAGCTCCCCCTTTAGACCGCGAGCTGAATAGGAAGTGTGGTTGAGATGAGCCCCCTGGCCCCAGCACCTAAACCCCTAGAACAGAATAAACTGCTCCATAAACTTTTGTTCCACGAAAAGTTGTTCGAACGGATTGCATCCCTCTCTTTCCAGCCCGGGGCCCTATTTCCCAGCAGCAATTGCAGGCCCTGCTCAGAGCCTGGGGGAGGGGAAGCGGGAGACCAGTCCGGCGGGGCTCTCTCCAAAAGCGACCGGGACGGCACGGGACTCCCGAGAGAGACACCCTTGTGTCCTCAGAGGGGAAATCCATCCTTCAACAGCCTCCATCAGACTCAGCCTCCTCTCCAGGAGTCCCGCTCAAACTCCCGCCATCAGACTCCCGTCAGAATCTCCCCACCACCACCACCTCAGGCTTCCCGGGCGCAACCCCTCTCGGCCTCAGCCTCCTCCCTCAGCCTCGACCTCCTCCTCTCAGCCTCCTCCCTCAGCCTCTCCCCAGTGCCCAGCCTCCTCTCTCCGATCCCCTCGGCCTCGCTCTCCTCGATCCGGGCGGCCAGGCCCCTCCCCTGCCGCCAGGATGGGGCTCACCGTCGTAGTAGTAACAGACTTTCCTCCTGGTGCCCTGAGTCTGCGCCATCTTGCTGCCTCCAGTCCCTCCCGTCAGTCCGTCGGTCCGCCTGCCCGCGGCTTAGCTCAGCGGCCGACCCCAGGAGGGAGGGGCGGTCCTCCAGCCCCGCCCGTCCCCTCCCAGGCTCACCTATTGCCGCGCAGCCCGGGCACCGCTCCAGCCAATCAGCTCGCGCAGGGACTGGCCCGGAACTCGGCGGGGGGCAAGGGCAGCCCAGAGAGGCCTCCGAGGGCCCCCCTGGGCCTGTACCAAGGTTCGCGACAGAGGGGTGGGGGAGCTGCCCGAGGACCGTACCATCAACCCCGGGGGAGGGAAGCAGCCCGATAAACTTCACAGTCTCATTACGTTGTTGGAAGCGTGCTTTGAGATCTGAGGCCAACTTTCTAATTTTACTGAGACTCAGTGGAGGCCTACAAATGAAAAGTGACTTGCGTAAGGTCACTCAGATAGCGAATAGGCTGAACCTAGATTCGAAGGACGGTTTGAAGGAGGAAAAAAATAAAATGAGAAGACAGGGAAAGAAAACTGGTTTGTCAAAGGCCCACTAGGGGCCAAGTGCTCTTAGTTATTTCTCACAGCAGCTCCGGTGGAGGGCTTTTATCCATCGTTTTGGAGATAACCTCGCGATTGCCTGCGCGGAGCCACACACCTATAACCCCATACGAAGATGGCAGGGTCGAGGCCAGCCTGGGTAATTAGGCCATTTAGCAAGATGGCACTGACACGAAACAAAATAAAACACAACACAAAACCCTCAGACCTTTGTGAACTGCTGAAAGCCTTTTCAATTGTATAGATCTTTCGAATACCCGCTCTGCATCAAAGGCCCAAAATGGCAGAACCCAGCCTTTCTAACCCCAAAGCCTGTCCGCATGACACAGGGACCCAGAATGACTATGAAACCTTTAGACAGCAGGAAATTGGGTTGTGCCATCGTAGGAAGAACAGAGTTCTCAGCCCTGGCTTGTTAACATTTTGGGCTGGATGATTCTTCACTATAGGGGCTGCCCTGTGAGTGATAGATGTTTATCAGCATGCTTGATCTCTACCCATTAGATACCAGTAGCACCCCACATGTGCACTGTGACAATAAAAGTTGTCTCTAGGGCCTGGGATTTAGTTCAGTGGTTCTGCTGCCTGCCTTGCAAGTAGAAGATCCTGATGTAAGACTTGAATAGGCTAAAGTGACTCCATGCTAATGGGCCAGACTGTGCTTCTTCATATGCTAATTGCTACCTTGGTTAACAGCCCACCCAGGGGCAAATGGTTTGACAAAAGCTGACCCTAGAACATTTCCTGCATAAGATAAGCAATGTGTTTGCAGTCTTGTTCTGTGAATTCCCTGACTCTTTGTTTAGTAAAACCTTATAAAAAGTACCTCAGCCCCTGAGCAGTTGCCTCTCTGAGCCACCTGGCTCCGGGAGTGCCGTCTGGCCAGACTAATAAAGGTCTTTTACCATCTAGGCTGGTGTGTTCCTTCCTGGGTTTCTCGGTTCTCTGTCGTGTTCCCGGAGCCTCGCTGGGTGTTAGGGCCCAGCATCGTGGAGGCCTTTTGGCTGTTCACGCTCCGTGGAGTGGAAGTGAGACTTTAGGTCTTACACTGAGTTCAATCCCGGGTACCCAAAGCAAAACAAAAACAAAAGTCTCTAAACATTGCCAAATGTCCAGGGTGAAGGCAGCTAGATGAAGTGTAAAATTGTCCCTTCTCCTCCCTTTGAGAATCACTGCTTTAGATGGTAGATGGATCAGGATCAACTGGTCATTACTTAGAGCTGAAAGACCAAAAAGCACTTGCTGAGCTTTTAAAACAAGTTACAACAACCTTACTATTTGGTGTTTACTGCTTGACCAACATTCTGCTAAATTAGCCACATACCTGTGGCCTACAGTCAATAAGATGCATTTTATGCCTTTTTAAAAAGCACTTAGGGACTTGTGTTAGGCACTTGGGAACTGCATTTGAGACTTTAGTGAAAAGGTAACAGAAGTTCTAAGACTAGGTGGTTCTATTATAGAAACAGCATAGGGCCAGGGAATAAAACCCTCTTCCCAGTTCTAAGTCACTGCTTCCCAGCTGGTCTTAAATGGGTTTACTGAACCTTTCTAGGCTTCCCTTGCCCTCTTTGCAGAATGGAAAGGATAAAAAACCAAAGTTCCCCACTTCTATGGTGGCACACAGTAACCAAAAGAAGAGGTGGGGCTTGATGATCATGGGTGTGACAGAGCTACATAAAATGCAGAACAGGGGCCATAAACTCAAATGCCTACAAAGTTCAGGCAGGTAATATAAAGGAATGAGTTTGTAATATTGTGACTCAGATATTCTTGGTTAGCATATTTTAAAAACTAGATTTCTCAGCTTCATAACAAATATGCCTTTCATGAGTGTTAACAGATAAGAGTTTGCTGTGACATGTGGGGAATTCCCCCCCCGACCGTGTGCCGTAACATATGATTGTTGTGACATAAGATTAAGAGTTTGAAGTAAGGTAATGTGAGTGTTGAGGAGTTAACTTAGATAGAGCATATAGATATATTAGATTAGAAATGACTTAAAGTATAAAAGGAGAAGACTATAGACAGATGACGTCGCTTGACGACTCCGTCAAGATGACCTGTTGAAGCTCTGCCCGAGACGCAGGAGCTTCCAGACCTGGAACAGAGGATCTGTATCCCTGTTTTGTCCGAGATGTTGACACGCTATACCTGATCCTGACTGCCGAAACATCGAAGTCGCAGCTCGACCCTGCGAAGCCTGAGACCAGACTACATCTACCAGGTCATATGCCCTCACCTATAACATGATAACATTTATGATTGTGTTAGAGATATTATGGGCTGACATTATTTCTGGATTGCGCTGGCAATTGTAGTTATATCCTTTGTGTGGGCTTATATTTATATTGTTAATGAGAATAAAAACATTGATCAAAACAAAACCAAATTGACAATCATTGATGCGCTGACCCGTGATCCCGAAACGCAAATCGATGCTCGCAACATAAACTCAAATGCCTACAAAGTTCAGGCAGGTAATATAAAGGAATGAGTTTGTAATATTGTGACTCAGATATTCTTGGTTAGCATATTTTAAAAACTAGATTTCTCAGCTTCATAACAAATATGCCTTTCTCCACCTTTCATCAAGCACACTGCCATTTTCAGATATCTCAATTTTCTCTTCTTCATGGAAATGTGGGCACCAAAAATCATTTTATTTTCCCCTTTATTAAGCGGATAACAGCACAAGATTGATGACAACAGATACTAACATTGTGTTACACTGTCTGGGAGTAGAGGGGACTGGTAACAAAGAGTTCACACCCCACCTGAATGGTATGGTCACTGTTGCACTCCAAGAAGACAGGTCAGTCCAATGCAGCCAAATATGTCATTTTTGGTAGTACTGGGATTAAACCCAGGGCCTTTTCCCTGAGCTACATCTTCAGCAACCCCCACCCCCGCTTTTATTTTGAGACAGGGTCCCAGTAAGAAGCTAAACTGCTTAGTCTGGGTTCAAACTTGTGAACTTGTACTCCTCTTGCCTCGGGTTCTTAGAATGCTGGGATTACAGGCATACACCTACATATTTGGCAAATCACCCAGGATTGTTGTTGTTGTTATTGTTGTTTTGAGGCAGTTTCACTCTGTAATTTAGGCTAGACTTGAACTCACAATATAGCCCTCTTACTCATAGTGATCCTCCTGCCTCATAAATTCAGGGATTATAGGCATGTGCCACCATACCTGGAAAATCTTCCAGTTTTTAAAGCGAAAGCAGAAATATAGAGTTTTATGCTAGACTGAGAGAGGGAATAGATCCTGTAATGCCAGCAGTATAGCTAAGTGTAAAGCATTTGCCTAGCATGGGCAAGGCCATGGGTTGGATTCCCAGCACCCAAAACAAAACAAATAAGCAAACGAAAATCACTTTCTTGGTGATATCTCCCCTGATCATTTTCTGTAAGATTGCAAACCTCAGAACAAGCATAGTGGCACACACCTGTAATCCCAGTACTTCAGAGGCTCAGGCAGGAGGATCACCATGAGTTCAAGGCCAACCTGGGCTACATAGTGAGCCCAAGGCCAGCCTGAACTATATAGTGAGATTGTCTCCAGGAACAAAAAAACTAAAATAAAATAAAATTGCAAACCTCTCCCAAACATGACATTCTTAACTCACCTTACACTGCTGTATTTTTTCCTTAGCAGTAGCCACTATGTAATTTTACTTGTTTGTGATGTTGACTGTATGCTTTCCCATACTATGCAAGCTCCACAAAATTAGAGATGTGCATGTGTGTGTGTGTGTGTGCGTGTGTGTGTGTGTGTGTGTGTTTGGTTTTTTGGTACCATGGATCAAACTCAGGACCTCGTACTTTTGAGGCAGATGCAGTGCCACTAAGCTAAATCCCTGGCCCAGGTTTTTTTTTTTTTGGTACCGGGAATTGAACTTGGGTCCTTGCACTTGCAAGGCAGGCCACCAAACCACTGAGCTAAATCCCCGGCCCTCTGGCCTGTTTTTGAGAGGATTTCGTTATGGAGTTCAGGCTGGCCTTGAACTCACTATGTATCCCAAGGATTACAGGTGTGCGCCACCATGCATGTGTGCATGTTTTATCTACTGTATATTCTATGAGCCTCAAACAGTGCCTGGCACGTACAACATCCTAAAGGTGAGTCAAAATATATCTAAAGTTAAATGTAGCCCTAAACAAAAATTCTAGCTTAACAAAAATTCTAGGGCTGGGTATTTAGCTCAGTGGTGCCGCCACGTGCCTTGCAAGTGCAAGGTCCTGAGTTCAATCCCCAGTACCAAGAGGGAAAAAAAAATATCCACAACCTGCTTCCCAAAAGCAAGGTCCCAAGTTCAATCCCTAGTACCTAAAAAAAAAAAAGTATACAAAAATTTGATTGATCTTGTAAGGGGAGGAAGGTTCTGCTGCATATCCATACCCTGGGAGCTTCCAGGTAAAGCCAGTCCTCAGTTCGCTGGGGGTGGTGTGAGCAGGTGAAGAGCACTGTCTCACTTGAAGGGGTTCCCACAGTACGTAAAACAGAGTTGTGGGACCAGCATCACAAGGGCTGGAAAAAGTTCAGGTAACCACTTATACCACCTCTTCCCCTGAACTCAGTTCCCATCTATTCAACGCCCCCCAACCTACCACAAGGAAAGGGAAGAGGAGAGTGCAGCAGAGACACGTGTAACCTTCAT